CCTGGACCGGCAGAGCAGAAAGGGACTTCTGGATCACCTAGGCCATCATTTTAGAGAGCAGTACCCAGGCCCAGAGAGAGGAAAGGATATGTCCATCCCAAGTCACGCAGCTGGGACCAGCGTCGTCTCCAGCACCCAGGGCAGCCCCTGCCTGCTTTCCATACCGCCTGGTCCTTCTCCCTGCCCCGTCTCCACCCCCTGCTCCTTCACTTTTCTTCAGTGTCTTGTCCTGGAGCTTCCTCAGACCCCACCTCCTGCCTCTCCCAGAGCACCCAGGAGAGGGTGACCCCTGTTTGAAGGCCTGCCCTTGGTGGTGGGGACTGTGTGTGAGTTATGCTGCAGTAGACAGTGGTGCACGAGCCTCACTCCTCTGGGCCAGCTCTTGTCTGCCTTACCCAGCTCATCTCCGTCCTGTCCCAAGGACTCCATCAGGATCCATGGCTCCCCTCTGGCCAGTCCTGTCCTGGGCTGCTCTTGGACCCAAGCGCCTGCAAGGAAAGTCCTGGCCTGGGAGCTCACTGGACACAAGTGCTTGACTTCATTGCAGACATCAGTGCCTGCTGTGAAGGATGGGAGGAAGGACCCGGAAGGGAGGAAGCCGTACTCCACGCAGAGGGCCTGTGTGCAGAGGCTCAGAAGCAGTGCAGGCAGCCCACTAGGCTCCTGTTTATCATTTCCCGTATGCACAGAAATACGGGAATCTAGAGCCACTTCCCGCAGATCCTGATGAGATTCACAACTGCAGCGGATGAGGATGGGAAGGGATTGTGGAGACCACATATTCCAGTCCCCCCTTCACCCTGAGCAGGCCAGGACCCCTTGCCATGTCCCAGTGCCCTCATGGCCACCCTGAGGGGACACCTGGCCGGGCAAAGAGCTGCCTGGCCTGCTGTCTGGAGGCCTCAGTGTGTGGTTTTGTTTGCCTGGTGCCATGAGTGGGCCAGGGGTAAAGGGACAGCTAGGGCGTTGGCTAGAGACCAAAGAAAAGTCAAGCCCCCCCAGAACGGCCACCACGGGGCCAGGACACAGGGCTGGCCTCAGTTTCCCACAGCACTTCTATGGGCAGGCCCAGCTGGCCTGCTAAAGGGTCATGTCCAGGTCCTTCTGGGACCCCAACCCTAGAATGTTCCTTAATTAGCAGCTGCCCCCTGCACTCCTTGGGGTTTGTGGTCCTTCCAAATGTGGCAGGGCCCTTAGGGAGCGTCTGTCATTTGTGTCCTCTGCACCTTCACCCACTGCCCCAAGGGACAGCATTTGTCTCTTGACCTTCTGCCTCTTTCCCCTTTCTCCTGGGTTCCTCACTCCAAATCTCCCCTCTCTGTCCCCTCTCAGACACCCTCTCAGCAGGACAGGCCTTCCTATTCCTTCTGCTTTGGGCCACGAATCTCCCCACTGTCCCTTCAAAGACACCCTCTCAGCAGGACAGGCCTTCCTTTCCTGCTGCTTTGGGCCGTGCCACTTAGCTNCCTCTGCTCAAAAAAATTGTTTCTGGAAGAATTAGCATTCTATTTCAGCATATTTACAGACATCTCTGAACACCATTTGTGGAGCCAAGCTTGAGAATCCTGGCTCAAATTAGTGTGAAAAAATGCCATTCCCAATTTAATTGATGACACAATGAGGAACAGAGCTATGTTCTTTGAAAACCCTAGGCTGAAACGCAAAGACTGGTCCCTTGGAAGTGTCCTCTTCCCCCAGATGCAGAGGAAAACACTCTCAGAGCTGCTCTTTCTCATATGCACTGTGACCTGGGCTGCTGATCTTGAGGTGGTTCCTGTCTTGCCTCTTGTGCCCTGGGGAGTGGGCCACACCTGCTCAACAGGCACGTCAGGTCACTGTGCTCTCCTCTACCAGGTGCACTGAGTCTCTGGGTGAGAGTTTTATTGGGGTCACCAACCACCAAAAACAGGAAAGAACGTACCCAAACCTCATGCCTTTCTCTCTGCTAGCTTTTTCTATTATCCATGTATCCATCCAATGCCCCCTCCTCAACAAGTGCCGTGTCTTAGGATGCTTTCTTTTGTCCAGAATACAATGACCTCCATCAAGTGCCAGGCTATTCTCTCTCCTGGCAGCGTTCTGGAATTTCTTTCTAAGTCCACGTCTTGACCCCAGGGATAAGCCCCCTCCTAGACTTCCTGGAAGGAGGTAGTGTACTTTCATCACCAGGTCTCACCCTCCCACCTTCCCAATGTCCCCGTTCTGTATATCCTGGGGGGGGGGGGTGCTGGGCTCTACATCCGGCCAGCCAGGAAGGAGATGTGGCCCGGGGGGGGGGGGGGGCCCTACTCCCGCCCGGCCGGGAAGGAGTGGGGGCCCGGGGGGGGGGGGGGGCCCTACTCCCGCCCGGCCGGGAAGGAGTGGGGGCCCGGGGGGGGGGGGGGGCCCTACTCCCGCCCGGCCGGGAAGGAGTGGGGGCCCGGGGGGGGGGGGGGGCCCTACTCCCGCCCGGCCGGGAAGGAGTGGGGGCCCGGGGGGGGGGGGGGGCCCTACTCCCGCCCGGCCGGGAAGGAGTGGGGGCCCGGGGGGGGGGGGGGGTGTGCCCTCATACACCGAGAGGTAAAGCAGATGTTCCAGGACAGAAGCCAGGGGAAGTGGGGGCTGTGAAACCAGCTGCTCACCTCCCCATGTTTGTGGGGGAAAAACTGAAGCCAGGGAAGACTCTTAAATCAAGTCTGCAGACAGCAGAGCCACAGGACGAGGTGGGCCTCTCAAGAGTCTGTCTGTGGACACCGTCTGAATCCTGTTTAGACAACGGAACATAAACCTCCTTCTCTCCGGTCGGTCCGGCCCGGTAAACATGGTAACATAAGCCCCTCTCTGACGAGGCAGACATTTTTTAGGCAGTGAGTCAGACCTCATGTCTCATCTTGCTCCTTCCAGAAGCCAAAATAGACTCTTTCAAATTCATCCCTTCAGCTGCCACAGAATGCTGCCTTGTGAACGGTCACTGTGGGCCCCTGGCTCAGCATCGTCTTAGCCAGAAACATGAGTGACCTGGGGGAAGCCCGAGTTAGCAACTTCGGACATTATTTTTAGCACAAGCAAACACAGGAGGAAGGCCTGTAATTTCCTCTCACAGAAGCTATCCTTTTCATTCCCCTCTGTCCTCCACAGCGGGGGGCCCGGGCCACCTGCACGAGGCTCAGGAGGTGAGCAGCCACTGTCGGCCTGGGAGTAGTAGCAGTGACAGTAGCAGCGGTGTAAAAACACTACAGTACCGCTGTTCCTGCTGGTAGTAGTAGTGACAACGGGAGAGTTGACAGGTACCTGGTATGCTTCTGTCACAAGACTCCTGTTAGGTATTTTGTCATTTATCTAATTCAGTCCTTCCAGTCGCCCTGGAAGTGGGTGAGGTTATCGTCCCCTCTGTACTGACAAGGAAACGCAGGTCATGCAGAAACACAGCACGTGACTCTGCTCCCCCACCCTTACTACCTTGCCCTTCAGTTTTCCAAATGTCCTGCATTGATGGACACGGGCATGTTGGAATCATTGCAGAGGCTTGCGACACACATGCTGCAGGTTGCAATGGGCTCAGGACAGCCTGATTCCTCCAGCCTGGGCCTGGGAAGCCAGTGCGTCCGGAAGTCCCCACCACAGCAAACGGAGGTGGCCCTGTCTCCCCTTGTGTGTCTTCAACAAAACACGTGGCTTTCCAAGACTCTGCATCTGCTCTGCATTCCTCCAAGTGAAGAGCAGGAACATTGTCATGTAAACAGTCCTCCAACAGCGCTGCAGCCTGGTGCATGGCCCTCCCCCTTCCAGAACCCCGGGGTGCACCTTCCCAGCTGTGGGTCTCTCCCTGAGATGACTCACTTCTTCCCAGGGCCGCCACAGCTGGCTACCGTCCCCTCCTAGCTGGACATGCAAGGAGCACAGACTCGGCTGCCCACCTCCCGGCTCCAGCTCCGGAGGTGGAGCCGCAGGCTGAGGCCCTGCCCTTCCCAGTCTGAAGCGCGTGCATGCCACTGGGTGCGTGCAGTGCGTGTCCCATGCAGGACACACACCCTACTTCTTAGTGCCGCCCCCCCCTTTTGTTCTCTTTCCCTCCCTCCCATATTTCCACTTTAAAAAATTTTCAAAAGACATAAAATGCGATTTCTTTTTATTGGTCTGCAGAAAGTGCATCAAACAAGAATGGGCTGAGAGGCAAGGGAGCGCTCAGGAGGGCCCCAGCTTATTAAAAACCACAGCTTATAGCACTGAGCTCACGGATGCCAGGCGGCACCTGTGCATCACGCACATCGTAACTCCCTCATAGCTGACGGGAGGGCTGGGGCTCGGTGAGGGGAGTGGGTGGCCCTCCTCCAGAGCACCAAGGCCTCCCCTGAAGCACCGTGGTTACCGGCTCCTGTCCCCCCTCTCCTGTGCCCTGTTACCCACTCATCTCCCATCTGACCATGCCGTAGGAGGTGCTCATGGAGGCAAATTGCCAGGCAGGCAGCTGTCTGCAGACAGCAGTTGCTCAAAAGCTGAGCTTGCATGCCCTTCTCTTGCTCCAGGCACTACCACAGCATGGAAGTATTCACCCACTACGACCTGCTGAACCTCAATGGCACCAAGGTGGCCGAAGGCCACAAAGCCAGCTTCTGCTTAGAGGACACGGAATGTGAAGGAGGTATCTTTGTGGGGGGAGGGGTGGTAGGAGACTCATAGGGACTTAGGTGCTCCCACCTCCGTGTCCACCCAGCTGGAGCCCCAGCCAGATGCTGGACTCCCTGTCCCCTGGCTACTGCTGACTCTCCATGTGGGGCCTTCATTTGCCCAGCTCTCTAGGGCCTTCCATGGCTATAACTTGGAGCTGGGGGGTGTGGGCAAGACCTGACTCTAAAGACAGGTCAGCCTGAGTTTTGCTGATGGTAGGTCCGCACGGCCTCCCAGGTAAGGTCCACCCTTGGGCCTGACGCAGACACCCCTCCTGCTCTGGCTCCCACAAACCTTTTTCCCTGTGTGTCCTGACGTCTAGTGTCCCTACCCCACCAGGTTCTTACCCTTCCAGTCCAAGCTCAAACGACACCCTCTGAGGTTCCCTGCCTCTCTTGCCTGCCTCCTCCAGGCAGGCAGGGGCAGCACTCCACTCTCACTGTGAGTAGGTTGCCACATCTGCACTGTGATCACCTGTCAGCACACCTGCCACCTTGACATGCGGGGCTCTTCAAGGAGAGACATGTTCATTCTCACTATACCCACTGCCTAGAGTGGTGCCCAGACACAGCAACCTCTCAATAAATGTGCGTTTAACTCGTCACTCATTAAAGCAGCCTGCCACTGACATGCCGTGAAATCACACAGCAAGGGATTTTGGGAAACCTCCCATGTGCAGACAGTGTGTAAGGATGCTGACATTCCAGAGGAGACAAGATGACCCCCACACTAAGCTAAACAGTGAACATCAGAGCTTTCCCAGATACACACACAGTTCATCCCCAGTGAAAGGATTTCACAGAAAGGCCAGGGTGGCCCGCAGTGGTCAGGGAGGACTTCGTGGAGGAGGGGGATCTTGATCCTGGTCTGAACAGAGGGGTGAGACATGGGTAGGGAATTGAATGGTGAGTCCCATTGAAATGACAGCAGACCAGAAGCCCACACAGTGGGGATGGGAGGCTGAGCCCAGAGGAAGCAGAGGTTGGGGGCAGGAAGTGAGGCCATGCACCTACCGTGATGGGCTTCCCTCGGGCCCTGCCTGCAGACATCCAGAAGAGCTACGAGTGTGCCAACTTCGGTGAGCAGGGCATCACCATGAGCTGCTGGGACGTGTACCGCCATGACATCGACTGCCAGTGGATCGACATCACTGATGTCCCCCCTGGAGACTACCTGTTCCAGGTGAGGTGGGCAGGCAGGGGTTCCAGGCCCTGCTGAAGGGAGGAGGGGAGGCCGCCTCAGCAGCCTCCTTCCAGCTGGTGCCTGAACAGGTGCGCAGGCCAGGCTGGTGTGGGGTGCCACACCTGGAGGCTGTCACGGTGTGTCAGGCGACCTCAGTATGTGAGGCATGCAGGAATGAGAGTAGGCCGTGTGCAGGGCCTGTGGGAACCAAACACCTGAGATGGTCGCACTGGGTTCAGTTAACGCCTGGTGCTTGCAAATGAAAACGCATCTGCAGGCCAGATTCGGTCCTTGGACCACGAATTTGTTCCACAGACTCTAGAGCAACCACACATTTTGTCTCATTTTGAGCTACTTTTCCCTCCACTCCGATTTCTCCCAGGGACCTCACCCCTTTGGTCGGTAACGTCAAGGCTGAAAAGAATCTGATAAAGGGCCAGTCACTCACAAGCGTTTGTGACTTAGTGCTCCCAGAAATACCTGCCTCATAAAAAAGTATCTGCAGAGGCATGTACTAGTCCATTTCTGTGCTTATAACAAAACACCTGAAACTGGGTAATGTATAAAGAAATGAAATGTCTTTCTTACAGTTTTGGAGGCTGGTTAGTCCATGGTCCAGGGAATGGATCTGGTGATGGCCTTCTTCAGGGTGGGAACTCTCTACAGGGTCCCACAGCGACACAGGGTATCACATGATGACAAAACTGGCAAGCACTCTCTCATGTGCTTCTTATAAAGCCACCAGTCCACACCAGTGGTAATTCATTACTTTGAGGGCACAGTCTTCATGATCCAATCACCTCTCAAAGGCCCCACCTTTCAAATATCATAATAGGATTTCCCACCCTCTTCACACTGTTACAGGGGATCAAGTTTCCAACACATGAACTTTTGGGGGACACTTTTGACCCATAGCGGGGGGCCATACTCCATGCAAAGAAATGAATCTATGATGGTAGAAGTCAAATGCTAGGGACAGCCTGGCTGGGTGACTTTTGTAGGGACTTCCCAGGGCTTCCACATACTTTGCCCTGGCAAAAGGCCAGCTCTGGGGAGGAACCAGGGGACCTTGACCTCCCTCCTTCCTGCTAACAGCTGCATGCTCCAGCCAGGGCCCATTTGGTGGAGGAGACGAGGGGCACTGTGCCTGCAGGGTCTCTCTCCTGATGCACGGGTGCACGTCTGCCCACAAAAGCTTCATTTCACCCTCTCACTCTCTCCCACATCCCCACCCATCTCATTTGCCACCTTGCCCTGTTGGGTGGCAAAGTGGATGAAATGTGTCATTCTGCTTTGAAAGCCTTCCCAAGGGGGCATTCAGCCAGTCCAGGTCCCCACCTACAGGCAGTCCTCTGAAGAACCAACACCTGCAGGGAAGTGACCACAGAGGGGCTTTGAGAGGTTTCCTGGGGAATTTCAGAGGCTGGAAATGAGACAGCCAAGCACTTTTCCACCCATGAGCCCAGAACCGCAGACTTGGAGAGGCCCAACCAGAGAGCAGAGTGCTCTTTATTTAAAAAAAAATAAATAAATAAATATCCGTGACTATGTGCACGTATACAGTGCCTGGCGGTTTATATGTGAGGTTTGCTGTCACTTTACCAGGTGAATGTATAGTCTCATGTATTCTGATCAATACCGTCTATGCAGTAGTTAGGATTTACTGCCTAGGCCCAGTGAATGCATCGTCTTATTTAACGTTCCAGTGAGGAGCATCATTACTGTCTTCATTTTACAGCCAGGTCACATCAGCTCTGTATTCTATTTTCTCAACCTCTGAACTGTACAATTAGCAAATGGACTTATCAGAGACATGTCAATACCTCTGATTAATTGGAAAGAATACTTCCCTTGGGATAGACACAGAGCCTTAGCCGCAGGAAAGTCCTGGCCTGGGAGCTCACTGGACACAAGTGCTTGACTTCATTGCAGACATCAGTGCCTGCTGTGAAGGATGGGAGGAAGGACCCGGAAGGGAGGAAGCCGTACTCCACGCAGAGGGCCTGTGTGCAGAGGCTCAGAAGCAGTGCAGGCAGCCCACTAGGCTCCTGTTTATCATTTCCCGTATGCACAGAAATACGGGAATCTAGAGCCACTTCCCGCAGATCCTGATGAGATTCACAACTGCAGCGGATGAGGGTGGGAAGGGATTGTGGAGACCACATATTCCAGCCCCCCCTTCACCCTCAGCAGGCCAGGACCCCTTGCCATGTCCCAGTGCCCTCATGGCCACCCTGAGGGGACACCTGGCTGGGCAAAGAGCTGCCTGGCCTGCTGTCTGGAGGCCTCAGTGTGTGGTTTTGTTTGCCTGGTGCCATGAGTGGGCCAGGGGTAAGGAGACAGCTAGGGCATTGGCTAGAGACCAAAGAAAAGTCAGGTCCCCCCAGAACGGCCACCACGGGGCCAGGACACAGGGCTGGCCTCAGTTTCCCACAGCACTTCTATGGGCAGGCCCAGCTGGCCTGCTAAAGGGTCATGTCCAGGTCCTTCTGGGACCCCAACCCTAGAATGTTCCTTAATTAGCAGCTGCCCCCTGCACTCCTTGGGGTTTGTGGTCCTTCCAAATGTGGCAGGGCCCTTAGGGAGCGTCTGTCATTTGTGTCCTCTGCACCTTCACCCACTGCCCCAAGGGACAGCATTTGTCTCTTGACCTTCTGCCTCTTTCCCCTTTCTCCTGGGTTCCTCACTCCAAATCTCCCCTCTCTGTCCCCTCTCAGACACCCTCTCAGCAGGACAGGCCTTCCTATTCCTTCTGCTTTGGGCCACGAATCTCCCCACTGTCCCTTCAAAGACACCCTCTCAGCAGGACAGGCCTTCCTTTCCTGCTGCTTTGGGCCGTGCCACTTAGCTGGGGAAATGCAGAGGAAGGGGATGGGAGGGATGGCAGGGGCGGCAGGGGCTGAATGGGGGGTGGAGTCCAGCCTCCACTAGCAGCCCCAGAGCCAGGCCCTGGACCGGCAGAGCAGAAAGGGACTTCTGGATCACCTAGGCCATCATTTTAGAGAGCAGTACCCAGGCCCAGAGAGAGGAAAGGATATGTCCATCCCAAGTCACGCAGCTGGGACCAGCGTCGTCTCCAGCACCCAGGGCAGCCCCTGCCTGCTTTCCATACCGCCTGGTCCTTCTCCCTGCCCCGTCTCCACACCCTGCTCCTTCACTTTTCTTCAGTGTCTTGTCCTGGAGCTTCCTCAGACCCCACCTCCTGCCTCTCCCAGAGCACCCAGGAGAGGGTGACCCCTGTTTGAAGGCCTGCCCTTGGTGGTGGGGACTGTGTGTGAGTTATGCTGCAGTAGACAGTGGTGCACGAACCTCACTCCTCTGGGCCAGCTCTTGTCTGCCTTACCCAGCTCATCTCTGTCCTGTCCCAAGGACTCCATCAGGATCCACGGCTCCCCTCTGGCCAGTCCTGTCCTGGTCTGCTCTTGGACCCAAGCGCCTGCATGCTCTCCTTCCTTGAGGTCACTGGCTCTGGAAGCCGGGCTGGTCTCAGCAGAGCCCCAGGCCCGGGGTGGAGGATGGCTGAGTAGAGAATCACCAGTTTTCTCTGACTTGACTCCCCCCAGGTTGTCATTAACCCCAACTATGAGGTTGCAGAATCTGATTACTCCAACAACATCATGAAGTGCAGGACCCGCTATGATGGCCACCGCATCTGGATGTACAACTGCCACATAGGTAAGGCCCCGAGCTGCCTCCACCCTCCTCAGGCCCCTCAGCCCACCACTGGGGAACAGGTGAGAGCTGCCCCCACTTTCCCAAGGAGCAGAGGCAGCTTCCTGATTTGGGGACTGGAGCAGCCTCACATTTCCATGCTCAGGAAAGAAGCCACAGACAGGCAGGCCTGGATGGAGGCTGTTTTCACAGCCAGCTCTGCCATGGGAGAGGGTGGCACAGAACTGGGCCAGCCCAGGGCACACCCCAAAGCTATTTAGGGCTGGGGCTGAGGCCACCAACTCATTATGCATGTGACTTCAAAAATGTGGGCGTCAGCTATTTGTGGGCTCTGCATGTCAGGTTTTCCTCTGTCAAGAACTAGAAGCCAGCAAACCACTGAAACTTCCTAGTCTCCAATAATGACACTTTCTCTTTGGGTTATATGACCTGGAGGACACAAGGGAAAACAGGGCTTCCTCCTCTGCAGGAGTGACAGACCTCACTCTTGGTAAATTACAGGCACTATATTTATTCATTCATTCACTCAACCTTGTCAGAGCACCTGCCATGTCCCAGGCCTTAGTGACAGCCAGCGCCCAGCACCTGTCCTTGTGGGGTCACACAGAGGCCAAGTCCCTGGCTCAGGTAAGGGCTGAGTATCTCATTTGCCAAACTCTCCCCTGATTGCCACTCCTCAGGCGGGTCCTTCAGTGAAGAGACGGAAAAGAAGTTTGAACACTTCAGTGGACTCATAACTAACCAGCTCTCCACGCGGTAAAGAAGCCTCTGTGGTCACCTCCTGTCTTTGGGCCACACCGCATCTTCCCCGGGATGTCCCCCAACAACTGAGTCTGACCGATGGCCACGCCCCTCACTCGGCCCCCAGCCCGTCCAGACCCCACAGCCATGACCATGCTCAGGAGGAAGGGGTGCTGCTGCCTGACCGGGGTGCAGGGGCTGTCCGCAGGGCTGTGGGAGCCACACCAAGAGCCAGTCTTGCTCAGGACCCCGCCACACACACAGGTTGTCATCAGCCTGTCCCCCAAGCCACCCAGCTCCCTACAGATAATATGTGGTCCTTTTCTTCTCAAGTCACACATGAGTGAATGTGAGCTTATCAAACCCCACGATGGTCAGGCTGAATCCTGTTTCTCCTCTTCTGAGATTGGTTACAGCAAACTTGAATATCTAGACCTCTCTTCCAGCTAAACCAATGGCCTCTATTCTAGACTATTATATTCCCATATATAAATAATGCTGCCATGTGTTTTGTGACTAGGTGAGCTCAGAGTTGGTGCTTCCCTCTCCACCCCCTTATTTTTCCAGACACCATTATTATATTATATTTTCACAGACTTTGAAACACAAAGTAACTTAGTGGCATTTAATATTGGGCATCTGGGCCTTTGCAAGTACAGCTCAAAAGAAAGACCAACTCACCTGTGTAAGTGACTCTCTATTGTTCCAATTCTGTGGGTCATTGAATCAACGGTGCTAAAACCAGGGTCCTGGGTGACGAGGACACTCACCAAACACCATGTGTCATCACAGACACTTACACATACTTGAAACTTGGAATAAAAGATTTATAGTATGTGTGTGTTTCCTTTGAACCACTGCACCTGGGCCCCAAGCGCAGGTTTCCTGTATATTTAGTTGCAGTAACAGAGTTCCGGGTACCTTTATGGTTTCACTCCCATGGAGATGCGTTCCCATATCCCCTATAATCCAGTGTGGCTACCGGGGCTTCCTTCAGTACAGACCACAAAAGGAGCAACTCCTGTCCTTTGGGAAAAGCAGGTTAAGAAGATCACAAAAATCAACTAAAACACAGGTTGTAACCTTTCTTGAACTCCTGTTTTTTACTGAAACTTGTCAGGGTGCACAACAGTTGTATTAAGACCAGATGGGACACCCAGATCTAAACAACCACAGGCGGCTTCCAAAGGAAGGGGTGTGCACAGAGCAGGAGCTCTGGATGGCCTGCGCCAGCCACTCTCACCCAGACACAAGTGCTCCCACTTGTACCAGAGCCCAGCAAGTGAGAGTCCACAATGACCCCAAGGCTCCAGGAAGGGCCACCCTGGCACCAATCCACCTAAATCCAAGAGAGGAGGGCACTGCGCCCACCCCCACAGGGATGCCTCCACCTGTTACCATGAGGGGAGCAAACTCAGTACACAGCTTTCACCTCCTGGCTTCATTCGCATCTATTTCTCGGAGGACCCCTTTGTAACCAGCACCAAAAGGTGACTCTGGGACCAGCCCAAATGCCTGGGGCCCTCAGTACTGCCATTAGCCCAGAGCTGCTCTGCAGCACATGGCGGCAGGCTGGGATACCCAAATGGCTGGAGGAGGCTGGGAAGGTGTCGCACAGCAGGTGTTGCAACATATCTCCAAAGCTGGGCAGGCTCTGTGCACAAATACCCTTGAAGCCCAGCAGGGGTACTCCAGGCCAGGCTCCTAGAGTGATTGTTTTTCCCCAGCAACCACAGGCCAGCGATGGGAAGCAGGATAGCGCCGCCTAGTGTCCCACCGCAGATGGTCACATTTTGAAGCAATCACATTAAAGCAACTTTTAAGTTTTTATTTTTTCTCAACTTCTGGGACTAGACAAACTAAAGCTCACCATGCCTCACAATGAAGCTTCAGTAATGGTGCAGGGCTGTTTGGTGTCTGTAAAGGCTTGTGGTGTTGGGCCCCGGTGTAGTCCTGGGATGCAGATCCAGCTTGACAGGACTCTTGGGACTCAGGATGGCAGACACTCTAGACAGCAGGCTGCTCTTTCTTTTTGTGTTGGAGCCCCAGGGCCTGGGCCACCAGCCTCCGGGCCACTGCCGTATTTGTCTGTGGTCTCTCCTTTGTCAGACGCAGGAGCTCTAAAAGGAAGGCCCCACGGAGGGGTGGGGACTTGAATGGAGGCCATGTCTGCCTCTCCTCCCAGCGACACAGCAGCCTCAGGGACCATCTGCATCAACTTCTAATTTTGCATGTGAGGGGCCTGAGGCCAAGCTGTGCCCATGCACGGCCAGAGACCCGTGAGACAGGGCCTGCCTAGGGCTCCAGGCTTGACGATCCAGGCTCCCAATGGATCTTGACCCAAACCTGTCACCTCTTGGTGCTCTTGTTTCTCTCTGTAGTGGGGCTGGGGAGGGGTCAATCCTGCCCACATCCCTGCTTTGTAGGGCCCTTTGGGAGGGAGACGAAGTCAGCCTGGGACACCTGGAGCTCTTGGACCTATAGACAGGACATTTATTGCTCCCCAGGAGTCTAGGGCGAGGCCGTGTAACCTTCCGCAGGGGCACAGTGGCCTCAGCAGACCCCCTCCAGGCCTGTTTTGCCGGCCGCCACTGCACTCACAGAAAACTGGCCTCTCAAAGCCCCCAACATGCTTTCTAGGAGGAGAAGAGGGAAGTAGAGGAACTGACATTTATCTGGCACCTTATGTCTGCCCC